CACACTCACCACCACTGTCTCCCCAGTGGCACTATCTGTAGTTAAGACAGCTGGGGCAGTACTGATCACGGCTGTGGTCAAGGGTGCATGTATCGTGTTGGGGAGCTGGGCGTATTCTGGATGCTTCTTTCGGATGTGTTGTACCATCTTGGTCTGAAAAAAATTAAGATAAACACCAAGAACCGAATTATTTTCCATCTTCTGCATATGCAAACTATCCAAAGAGTCCTAAAGTCTTTTCTATTATACGTAAAAAAACAAAAGCAGAGTAACACTGACTCTGTGGCTGCCCTTCCTAAAGTAGTGTTGTACTATGAGAGGGGAAAAAGGGAGGAAGGCTAAAAAGAAAGAGAAAATGCACCACATCGAGTCAAGTAAAAATAACCACTAGCACCCTCTTACTCCCACCTATGCCTTCAGCAATCAATCACAATCCCCTAAGAAAATGACCTCCTTTACAAGAAACCCATTGCAGGCAAGTTGATGCTGATACACAGCGAACCTATAGGACAGAGTAGAACTGCCTCCTGGGATTTCCAAGCCTGTAAATCTTTATGGAAGCAGACTGGTCCATTCTTCTCCTGTGGAGCAGCTGGGGGTTCAAATTCTGGCCTTTCCGTCAGTAGTCAAGCACTTAACCATTGCACCACTGTTATTTAAGTCCCAATGGAATACATCTGTACACCTGAGCTCACAGACTATGAGCCTAAAATATGCACCTATGAGACCTTCAGCAGGCACAAAAACAACAACAAAAACCCAACTACAAAAACTACCAGATGGCACTCATCCTGGGCAAAGTCCCCAATATTACCTCCCTGTTCTTGGCTTATGACCCTTATTATCTTCAGGAAACAGTTCCTTAGATAGTCCTTCCTCAATTCAGAAGAATCCAGCAAGGCATCTTAACAGCTCCCCTAAATGATGGTTTAGCTTTAGTCGGAACCCTTTCCCATACCTTGCTACTGTACTGTTTGGAGCAGTGAGGACAGCAGACAGGAGGGGTGGCGATTGTGCCAGTGAGCTGGGTGTGAGTACTCAGCATGGGATCGGGCTCTCCAGGTCCAGCGGGACGAAGCTTCCGAATACTTGGTGGGAGCTCAGCTCCTGGGTGGTTCTTCAGAATATGTGCTTTACGCTTGCTGGCACTTTTGTAAACCTGCAATTCAAATGCCGTATACAGTTCCATTTGCTTGCTGAAAACAAACTATCGAACTGTGCTATTTGGCCAAAATAGAACACACTAGCAGATACAACAAGGAGACTAAGGGGATAACATCACTTAGAATAAAATAAGAACACACAGTTATATGCTGGGCATCTTCCTTGCATTCATCTCTCTTAAGGTAGCAGCTGTAAAAATGCCTCTAACGTTACAAAGGTAAGTAGAAAGTCAGAGGAAGAGATTTGCTTTTAAAGCCAGGTCACCCTGTAGCCTTTCTCCACGAGCTCTCACTGGGGCATGTGGCTGCCTGCCAGGTCCCACAGACCCTTCCAGAATGGCAAGCCTAACAGTAACAGTATGTTTGGAGGTGGGTCTAGATGTTAGAGGGTGTTTCTCACTTTTAAGTGGGTATAAACTCAATAAAGATAGCAGAATTAATCCTTGAACTATAATATAGTCACATTATAAGAGGAAATGCTATTATAATGAAGTCAAAGAAACAATAGACACCTTCTCTTTTTGCCTTTTTTGTCACTGGACACAAGCAAAAAGTAGGGCAAAACAACAAGAGAGCTCCTCTGCACAGCTCTCTCACATCTCCCTCCACCACAGATTTCATAGTAGGATGATGACACTCTGATTGCAGAGCTTAGAAATTTAAAATGGATTCATCTACAGGGATCTTGGTAATAGGGTCAATAAGAGAAACAAAGTTAGCCAACTAATTTAAGAAAATCTAAGGGGCAAAATGGGCTTAAAATAAAGCATCATTTCTAGCCCTCTCACGTGTGAGTGGAAAAGTACTGAGAGACTGGGAGCCATCTGCCGAGAGTAACTGCAAGCTCCCAGTATATATTTATACAGACAAACTGGCTCACAGAGAGCTCTCACAGAGCACACCAGAAAGGATGGTTTCCTCTTACCTTATCACAATACTGGCAAAAGTAATCACGGTTGGGCTTTATGATAGGTAGGGTTAACTCTGGCACCTCTTCTATTTTCATATCTGGGTGCCTCTTGGATAAGTGATTTACCTAAAAGGAGGGGGCAAGGGAGGAGAAGAGATTCCATCATAAACAGAAGGTAAACAAATTCCTCAGATAGGATAAAATGAAATTCTCTGAAACAATGTTCCCCAAACAATAGGGCATTTGGTCAGAAACAGCATGCCCAAACCCATCTGACACCACATTAATAGTCTCGGTTAACGAGACTGAACAGTAATTCAGCGAATTCCTGAAAATGAAGTGGGTCATTGTGGATCTCATTAATAATCATTAACTAAAATAGCTACTAATAGAAAAATGAAAATCACTCTAGCATAAATTTCTTTGGCGAATTCTCCTGATGCAAACCTGGTTTCAATCTTTGGTGACCAAGTCTTATTGACAACATTGAATGAAAAACAAACTGAGGTTCCGAATTTTCAGTATTGCTCTAGGCCATTCTACACATATTCTACAACTGGAATAAAGTCAGGATGCGTTGACAGCAGTGAACTGGCTACCTTGATGTTCCAACTAACCGGGGTTCACAGACCCTGTTTTGGTGGGAAGAGACCTTCTACTGCTGTTTCGCATCTAGACAAGAGAGGCATTAGAAGGAGACACTAGGGGCAAAGGCAAAAGACTCCACCCAAAAGTATATACAAGGAGGTTTCTAAAGTTTATGGGGAAATTCCATTATCTTTGGAGTCTCTTTTTCCACAAACTTTTTGAAGCCCTCATGAATAGGGATACAAAAAAAGAAGGAAATAAAATAGAAAAAGAACAAAGAAGGTGGGAAGGACACAGAGAAACAAAACAAGGGCTGGAAAGTGCTAGAAATAGGCTCCTCCTAGCGGACACCCGTAAAGAACTGTGACAGAGGAGAGAGAGAAGACTGGAAGGGAAAGACCCCACACTGGGAACTGGGTGTCTCGGACTTTCTTCGTGCCCCTAGCCATTGACTGATGGCAGACATGAGTTCAGCACAGAGTACAACGCACAGGCTACCACCTGCACAGACCAAATGACAAGGGGTTGGAAGACAGAAGGGGAGCAGCCACGGGCACTGACCAGCATGCCTCGCCTCCGGAAGCCCATCATGCACAGGCGGCATTTAAACGTGAAGCTGTCGTAGTCTGCGGACGTGATGCGTGGTTTGAAAGTCTTGGAGCGGCCGATGCGGTCGGCTTTCTTGGCTTCCCTCTCCGGATTATGCATCCTCTGCATGTGTTCCCGCAGTTTGTCTTTTCGCTATTGAAAGAGATTTTTTTTAAGTTGATGAAATTTTTACAAATTTAATGAAATTGGAAAAAAAATTAGTAAAAGTCAACAGTGGCGCCAGTCTACCAAAATGCATCTGAGTTGTTGGAGGGCTGGAACATGCAAGGGCGCCAGATATGACCAGGCACGCATGCCTCCCAATGAATGAACCATGGTGTAAAATTAAATGTGAACATGTGCGTCCCAATGAATGAACCTTGGTGTAAAATTAAATGTGAACGTGTGCATCCCAATGAATGTACGTTGGTGTAAAATTAAACATGAAAGATGCATACTGCATTTTAGAAGACTTTGCATTCACATTCAGGAGATCAAATATACATGAAAGAAGTTTGGTATTAAGAACTGTAAAGCAGGCTGGTCCGATGGTAGTGGGTTATCAGAACTTATTAACATTAGTGTCACTAAAGTTGGTATACAAACCCCGCCACTGCTGAATTTGACTGGCTTTAAAAAAAAAAAAAAAAGAATTGTAAAGCAAACTGTCTCATTCACTCCCTGCCTCACTCACTGACTGTGTCATTCACTCTCTGTCTCACTCCCTCACCCTCACTCTCTCACTGTCTCACTGTCTCACTCACTCACTGTCTCATTCACTCCCTGCCTCACTCTCTTTCTCACTCATTCGCTGTCTCACTCTCTCACTGCCTAACTCACTCACTGTCTCATTCACTGACTCTCACTGTCTTATTCACTCCCTGCCTCACTCTCTGTCTCAATCTCACTGCCTCACTCACTGACTCTCACTGTGTCTGTCACTCACTCACTCTCTCACTGCCTCACTCACTCACTGTCTCATTCACTGACTCTCACTGTCTTATTCACTCCCTGCCTCACTCTCTCACCATCTCATTCACTCACTGTCGCACTCTCTCACGTCTCATTCACTCCCTGCCTCACTCTGTGACTCACTCTCACTCACTCACTGTCTCACTCTCTCATTCACTCACTTTCTCATTCACTGACTCTCATTGTCTCACTCACTCACTGCCTCATTCACTGTTTCACTCACTCACTCACTCTCACTTACTTACTTACTGTCTCACTCCCTGCCTCACTCACTGCCTCTCACTCACTCACTGTCTCACTCCCTCACTGCCTCACTGCCTCACTCAGTGACTCACTTTCACTGACTCCCTGCCTCATTCACTCCCTGCCTCACTCTTTCACTGTCTCAATCACTCACTGCCTCACTCACTTACTCTCTCTGTGTCACTCACTCACTGATTCTCACTCTCTCACTGTCTCATTCACTCCCTGTCTCACTCTCTCACT